TTTAATTTTTACGTGACCTTCATTTAATTACTCTGCAGATTCAAGGTTCAGTTTTTTTCACAGCTGTGGAACTGAGGATATGGAGAACATACCTTTAATTAAAAGCAAACAAAAAGTACTCCAAACTGTGACTTTAATGTGGCACGTGGAGAATTTCTTATTTACCAGACTACTCAGACTCAATCTAGTACTCATGGAAAAAAACCAACCACCATAAAGCAAACAGGAGTCTGGCTGTAACATGCTAAACTGCTCACATTTCTTACCTTAAGCTTTTTTAGATAAAAGAATCAGCTGACAGCGTCATACACTTCTATTTAAAATTAGACTGCCTAAAAGAAATCTTTGCAGCCCTGACTAATACATAATTTCACTCTTCTGCAGTAGCTAAGTGAGATTACAGTCATTTCTATTTTAAGGTTTCTTAAGTATTTAAAGCCTTTGATGTCGTCTTGAAAATCCAGCCGTGTCACTGCAACGTTTAAAAGAAAATCTGTGGGTTTTTTTAACACCCTGGATTTTTATTTTTCAAAAATGAGTTTCATTTTTAATAGTCCTTTCATCTTTGGATTTAGCAATGTGTTTTATTCATGGTCAAAGCATCCTCTAGTAAGATTACTAGTGGTGACTTTGAGCAATGACCCTCTGTCATCACGTTAACTGATTTAGTAAGTTGGCTCGTACTGATTCCAAATATTCCTTTACTGTGGGCTTTTAAAACAAATCTATTCAAAAGTTGTAGTTCGTACAACTGCAATGCAATTTAAATACTTTTTTATTTTTTAATCCAGAAAGAAAAATGAGAGTGCTATTTATCTTCCTTGAAAAAATTACATCCATTTAAAGCTACTTTTTGGAGCAGCCATCTCAACCATATAAAAATGAAGTCACAGATATTAAATTAGAATATTAATTTTCTGTGCAAGTTTAAGTCCATATTATTTTTTCCTTAATAATATAACATATTGAAATGTTATGTAAGAGATCATCGGTGGATGACAGATTTTTTTATTGTCGTGTTGGATTCTATAAAACATCAGAAAAGACACTGTCTAAACTTTCAAAAGACAGAATGAAAGAAAATGTGCCTCAGAAGTAGTTCAATTTTTTTCAAGTGTTTTTTTCATTGTGCATAGGAGATAAATACACGTGAATACGCAAAGACTGTTCTGACTTGCTATACAGTATGCAAGGAGAGAGTCCTCCTCTTTACACTGGGCTCTCCTCACTGTCCAAAATTAGTGTTATAAAACTGAGAATATGTGCCCCTTTGAATACAAACATCTGATTTTTCCAAGTGGGCTGAGTTTGGGCAATCAGGTACTTGATCTCAGGTACCGAGGAAATCAATCGATTAAGTGCAGACCTCTGCCATAGGTACGTGTTCAAATACTCTTTGATCTTGTATATAGCTCTTCATTATATATGATTTTCTTTATTTGCAAAGTAGCTATGATCCTAATAGCCAGAAATAAGTTAATCTTGCCAGCTTTGTATTGGAAAATGGAACTCATGGTTTATGCAACTGATAAACTGCTGTCCTTAAGTACTTAAAACATTTATGAATTATTTCTTGTAGATACAAGTTGAGCATAAAGTGGTAAGCTTGTGTTAATATGAAGAGATGAAATGAACTCAGAACTAGTTGAAATCTCTGAGAAAAACTTCAGACTGAATTCAATCCCCTCTAGAGCACGAGTGAGACATCTCCACAGTTACTCTGTTAGCACCTTTCTAAAATATTCCTGTACCATGAAGTAAAAAGACTGTTCAGACAACCTTAGTGAAACAAAAAAAAACAACAAACACTACTGTGTTTTAAGGAAATTGATGCACAGAGGAATGTGCTGAAGCACATGATGCTGAGGCATCTGAAGAAGCTTTCGGCATTTGCTCAATTCATGCTTTTGGAGTAACGTATTTTTGTTTTGAAAACTAATGTTCTTATTAATTCTACCTCACCCACTGTCCTTGTAAAATAAGTTTCCTTTAAACCTTGAAGTCATTATAGTTGCCAATTCTAAATGTTAGAAGTTAACAGTTAGAAGTCTGCTGGCCCAGAGTTTTTTGGGAGGATGAGGCTCATCTCTCACTGTAGTAGAAACAGGGATTAAAATATTCAGCAAAACAAAATACAGTATCTGAAGTAGGTGTTTTGAGTTTTATAAAGTCATAGCCAAACTTCGCAGTTAAACACAGCTGACAGGAAAAGATAATTAATAAAAACTAAGAATAAGTTACAGTTTAGATTGCTCTCTTCATTAAATGATGAATGAAGTTATTGAAAATGCTGTTTTCTTCCTATTAGGAAAACCCCACCATTATTAAATTCTATCAGTTGTGAAGTAATTCTTTTTTGCAATGTCAGTTTTAGCAGGTATATTTTTCCACTTTCATTGTTTTTATAATGCAATCTGAGTTCAGAGTGCATCTTCTGCCACGAAGTTCACTTCAGATGTTCCCTTTGTCCAGGGAAGCAGGCACACGCCTGTATGAACAAGCAGATGCAGGCAGTGGCACTGTGGAGGCTCGGCCATCAGTATTAGCAATCATTGCACATTTCTTGAAAGTAAGAAAAAATACTTCCAATTTTGGCAGGTGTCTTTCTTGCCCATATTAGTTACTTTTAATTTCTCTGCAATCTCTGTTAATCCTGACTATGCAAAGTCCTTAAATAACAGGAACAGATGTGCAGTCACCAAATTCTTAAGTAATGCTGGACACTCTGCATATGTACTTTGCCAGTCCAGCCTGCTTGCTTCTCTAGATCAACAAAGCATTGCTGCTGTAATCTCCTTACCTGACTGACTTCAGAGAGCCTACGGGGACTCCTTAGCAGGCAGGCCAACGTGTTCCAGTCACAGAAGTCCAGAATCACGAGTTGTTAGCTTACTAAAGTTCACAGCTGCTGTTGGTCTCAGGTTAGAAAACAGAATTAGTACTAATTTTTACTACCCTTGTAATTAAGCAGCCAAAATTAGGTTAATTTTATCTAGCATGAGATTTCTATGATCATGCAATTCAGTGTATCCAAAAAAAATGCCTGTCAGTTCCATCTACTACTGGTGCAACTTTTTACTATGACCCAAAAAACCTTGGAAAAGTTCCATAGGAGAAAGAAGCATTTCAAGCAGTTTTCCATGTTTTTGCTGAGTGATTAAGCCAAAAAACACATTTACCAATTTTGATTGACTACACGCTAAAGAAACTTCGGAAATGTTGCTGGTTTAAGATTATGAAAGTCTGAAATAGGCGAAGTTCTGGTGCTAATGTTTTTTTTTATGCCTTTGAAAACAACCAGTCATACGGAAGTCACACGGAACTGGAGATGACAGGGAAAGAGGTGATTTGGCAGATAATACTCTACAGAGGAAAATCCTTTGGCAGTGTCCTATTCATTTTTCTTTTCTAATAAATCAGAGTTGTGCAATATCTATTTAAACAGACAATACCAAATAATATTCACTCAAAACTGCAAAGGTAGGGTAAGTTACAACTATTTTTATAGCAAACAGGCTGTGTAAAGCTATACCAGAAATTGTCATAATGTAAACAGTGAGTACCATTGGGTGGCTGCTTAGTTGAGTCTTAGGCAGATAAAGTCTTGGAGTCCTTCCTTAAACTCCAGCTGCTTCTAATTGCTGCAGACTTTTTGAAAAGAGGTGGCCTGTAAGACATGCAGCTGCCAAATTAGAAAGGTCAAAGCCAACATGTTCATATTCAGTGACAAAAACAATTTGTGCTGATTATGGAGCAAAAGAGCATGCATGATAGAAAGCCCTTTTCAGTGTGGCAGCTGTGTTCAGCCTGGCGGCCGATGTTTAAATGGCTCTGCTGCTGCAGCGTGTGCTGCGTTGGTTCGCTTCTGATGTGGCACAACATGATTGCTTGGGTCAGATCTTTAAAACTGAAGAAAGCTTTATTGATAGCTGCATTCACAAGAGCACGGAATGCCACGTACACTTAGTTTCACTGTCTAATTTTAAGTCCTAAAATTTGGAATCACTTGGGAGTAATTTTTGTTGGACTTTCTTCTTCCTTTTGAACTGTTGTATTCAAATATAAATAACAGCAAGTCTTTTGACTCTTCATAAAATGCAACAAATGTCATTCTTTTTCACTCTGGCTTGTTGCTTTCAGGTAAGCATTTTTTTCTTCTTTTTTTTTTTTTCTTTTCAGATGAAGTATGTACACATAGAAACACTTAAACCCTTGCAGAGCTTAAATGAGCAGCTATTTAAAGATTTACTTTGTACTTTGTGAAGTTTGTCTCATTTCCTGATGTACTCTGCTGAAGTTAACTTTTGACTTTAGAGTGTCACAGTGTCTTATTAACAGCATGTTTGTGGTTTGTAAGGTAAAGCAGTGATCTCTCCTTGGGTGATAACCTTCCTGTGGAATGACTGTGGTTTTGATTGTTCTCAGAGTTTCATAACTTCAGAGTTTTAAAATGCTTACCAAAAAAATGTAGAAATTTGTTCCAGGTGATTTTGCTTAGAAATAATTTGTACTTACAAAGCAAACATGTAGTATAACCATAATTTATATTTTTATGGTGTTAACATCTCTGTCCCAAACTGGCTATTTATCTGTTTATGGTTTTTCTTTTTTCTAATATTCATTCTTTGTATATAATAACCAGAAATTCAATACTCCCACTGTGAGATCATAAGAACTTACACCAGCATGTATCCACTGGCTGGATTAAGGATAAGAACCCCTTAGTTACCAGCCTATATTCTCTCTCAAATCATTAAATAAAGAAATAGACATTGTCATATCCTGAAAGTGTTCTTTTTTCCATTCTGAAATCAATACTGCATGAGTGTATGATATATTAGGTGAATTTAAATTCATGAAAATAAACTAAGAACATTGAGTTACCTGTAATTTTTATATTATTCTTTTGGTGGGTTGCTTTCTTTATTATTAAAAAAAAGAAAAAAAGTCTTTTATAAATTAACCTGTTCTTTTTTTCTTCCACTTTTATCCTTTCCAAGGTTATGCCTTCCTGCTGTTCCAGGAAGAAAGCTCTGTACAAGCTCTGATAGATGCCTGTCTGGAAGAAGATGGGAAACTTTACCTGTGTGTATCAAGTCCCACCATCAAGGATAAACCAGTAAGTAGCTTATGCCATGACACCTCTGCTGGCCGTTATCCCATTTGCTGTTACTCTTTTCAGCTAAATAAATAAATAACTACTTACTGTTAACTGACTTGTCCATTTCCTGCTGCTGCCCTTGGTGTTGCATTGAATTGACTTTCTGTATCAGCGTAACACAGTTTTAACATTTGCTTCTTTCTGATAAATGCCACATTCAATTAACTTTTGTATTTGGTACTTCTGGTGTTTCACAGGAGTATGCACCCTTTTACAGTGTTAGTTCTAAAACAATTAGATTCAGCATTTTCACTCCACATTATTTGAAAGAAAGCTTTATGCAATGAAATGAAAAATTTAACTATCTCCTCTTCTTTCCCTCCATTAAATACCAGCTGATTTCAAATATCCCCCTGTAATCCATTATTTTTAATTATTGTTTGTCCTGATTGCAATTACCAAGACATTTATAACTTAGGTACGTCCAATTTGCCATATATAAACTGAAGGGTAAACACAAGTAAAGCAGAAAGCTATGGTAGAGCATACAGTACCTTGTTTCTATTGCTAACATCTCTAATACTCTTCAAAGCTACTCTTTTTCATGGCTATGGATACATACAGATTAAATGGAAACTACAAATAAATTCAATTAGATAAAAATATGTTGACTTCTTAAAATGCTCTTGAAAAGCTTACACAGATAAATGAACGATCTAATATTACAGCACAGTCAGTGTGTGCATGTACTAACAGCGACAAGTGGATATGAGCAGCTTTATGTCCAAATGACTTGAGAACAGTTTCTCTCTACATAGTTTGAAAATTTCTTCTCAGCTGCTTAACAGAAGTGAGCAACTGCACTGTCAAAATAAACTCTTTTTGTATTTCAAGCACAGAAATTTATCTCTTTCCATTCATCAGTGCTTAAAAATGTGTGGTTTCTTGAATGTGGAGTCCAGACTCCATCGGTAATTATGCACAGGTGATAAAATGTTCTGGAAGTCCTTTCACAGATTGCTTGTTATAAATGGCAGCTGGGGGCAGGGAACAAATGAGGTAGGAGTTTGCTATGATGAAAAATTTAACTCAAGCCTGGCCTCTAGAGGTGAAAAATTAATTGTCCTCCTCCTGTCAAACACTTAGATAAGCTACGTTCTTGGCATTTTGGTGCACACACCACTGATTCACTGCTTTTACTAAATTGTATTGTTGATTAGAGCATGATTTAGTAACTTTTTCTTTATTTTAAGTTGTCAAGTCCTCTACTAACTATAAACTCTAATTCCCTGTACAGGTGCAAATTCGCCCTTGGAACCTAAGTGACAGTGACTTTGTGATGGATGGGTCTCAGCCTTTGGACCCAAGAAAGACTATTTTTGTTGGAGGAGTTCCACGGCCCCTCCGAGCTGGTGAGTAAAAGGAAAATGCTGGGCATGTAATGGAGTTTTCAGATTAAGCAGAACACATTAAAAGTAGAAAAGATGTACAGCATATGTAAAAGAAATAGAATAGAATACAGAAAACATATCCTGTATTTTCTCAGGATCACAGCTCACTTTCTAAGTCAGTTAATTTCTTTTTGTCTACAAAATACAAAACCTGAATTTTTATCTTCTAAATAGGTTACTGATTTGGATAATAAATAGAAACAGTTTTCTTCAAATTTGCATCACACACAGAAACTGGCTGATTTTCTGTATATATCCACCATCTCAATCCTAACCCTGATTTGCTTGCTGAGATGTGGGCAAATTTCCCTGCCCTTTGACTAGAATACAAACTTCTCCAAGCTCCTTTCCAACTCTTTAATTTCTCCCTCTTTCTGACCCCTAACTCTGACTTTCCTGTGGAGCTATGGGTAAGGCCTCAGCTTGTGTTCAGAAGAGAGATTTCTCCCTGTCCAGTTCTCTTGTAGCCCCACTCTGTGCTGAAGGCTACTTTCAGACCCACTCCTAGCCCCCTGCAACTGTAACTCCTTGCTTTCCCTTTCTTCCAAGCCCAGTCTGATCCATAATTCTGAGAAGCTGTATGCAAGATCCTCAGTCATTGCTCTCAGAAAGATTTCTTTCTCCTAGCCCAGGTTTCTTGCCAGCTTCCATTTTCCTCACCATCTTAAAATAAGATATAATTGTAAGAGAGGATAATTATGTAACTGATAACAATTAAACATCACCTCACTTCTAATTATAGCACTTCACAGAACTGTATGTCATAGATTGTTTATGCATTACATTTAAAAACAGGTAGTTATGTTCCAAAGCAGACAGTGAGTTTCCAGCTCTTGTCTGCAACTTTCAAGGTCTCATTCAGACATTTTATGTAAGATGTCTGAACACTGTGTGGTTTCTTCCTCCTGGAATCATATATATTCCTTGTCTATTGGCAAGAGTAACTTGCTGAAATTATTTTAAATGCTTTTAAAAGCTCTTGCTTATTCCAGACTGTTACTTTCTGAGATCATTACCTAAATAATGGTTACAAATCGCAGGAAAGCAAAAGAATATTTTAGTCTGTATGTCCTGGAGGTAGTTTCCCCTTACTGTTTGGAGTATGAATTTGATCTAGTTTGGTGAAATGGCTTGGACGTTTGTTTGCTTGTTGCAAATGGACAAATTAGCATTTGGTCTTTCCATAATGTGACACGTTTACACAAACGCACGTTTAAATAATTAAACATATTCAGTTAAATAATTAGCTCTATTCTATATGTAGTTAACAACTTTTGTGAGAATTTCAATAGTTTAAATATAATAATTTTTTCCCTTCATCTCAGATTTCTGAATTTTAGCTTGCTACCAAAGGGTTTTCACATGTTGGAATTAAAAAAAAATCATTGACTTGTCAGGTCCCAATGCCTTGCTTTGAGTGTTTGTCCTTCATCCATCAAATTTGTTTTACTATCAGCTTATAGAGAGAAAATGTCTCAGCAACTGTACGTCTTCACACACTTTACATGCCTCTGCTCCATTTCCTTCAACTCTTTATCTTCCCCTTCTTTCTGTATGTTTCCTTAGCCATTCACTCACACTGTCTTCTGAGTGAATGTTTATAACTTTCTTTTGAGTTGTTTATGTCAGGAAAAACAGCAAACCATTTTAAAAGACTCAAAATCAAGTTAATATTCTAGAAATATAACTAATTAAATTCACCCTAAATGTTGGCACGTGTTAAATATAACTTCTGGTGTTTCACCAAATTTTGTTTCGTACATGAAATACTTTCTTAATGTCTTTTCAAACTCCTAACATGTAGGCTAAAAGAGCAGATTCTAAATAAAGGAGTATATTTGAGTGACCTTATATTTAAACTACTGTTAGCAAGCCTTGCTGGTGCTGGGATAAACCGTGAGTGCTTAATCTCAAACATCACAGTTTCAATTTGCTATATGATAAATTCCAGAAAAGTTGATCTGATCCCTGCTCTCACAAGGTCCATTCTTTCTACAGTTCAACCACTGCAAGTTTCATTTCTAGTCTTTATGTTTTACTGTAATTTATAGAGTTGTTTCAAGCTGCTTAAAACCAACGTATAGGTTTGCAATTTTAGACTTTGGACACAGTCGTACTAAGGCAAATACCACTACTTTTTAACCCAGCAAACCAAACAAAACTGTTATTTATGTTGAATCCGTATTTTTAAATTGCCTTCTTGCAGTTGAATTGGCAATGATTATGGACCGTTTATACGGAGGTGTCTGCTATGCTGGCATTGATACAGACCCAGAGTTGAAATACCCAAAAGGTGCTGGCAGAGTGGCTTTCTCTAATCAGCAGAGCTACATTGCTGCTATCAGTGCTCGCTTTGTCCAGCTCCAACACAATGACATTGATAAACGGGTAAGTAAAGTGGTACGAAATGATTGTTACTAAGAAAACTGTACAGAGATTAAAAACATCCTTATACTAATGCTGTGTTAGAAAACAGTAACTTTTGTTCTTTGGTGGATAATTTTTAATTATTTAGACTGTAGTGGAAAAAGTAGACTTTTAAAATTGTTACTTGAGATTTTTAACGCTGAAATCAGAAAATAGTTGATGGCAAACTCAGTTTAGTCTCAGCTTTTTTGTTTTGAATTCTAAAGATCAAGCACTGTAGAATGAACCCACCTTCTTTTGAGTTTAGATGTTTGCCTGTTATGCATCAAGAGATTTTATTTCTGGCTGTCCATGTGGCTTCTGGCTACTTGTATCACTTATGGTGATTCTGTAGTTAGGCAACCTTTTCTCTCCACAATGAAGGTCTAGCCTTAAAATTCCCCAAATGCAGGTATTATTGTAGAAAATAGTAGACAATGATGGCCTCAAAATATTGGTTTAACCAAAAAGAGATGCCAAAAAAATGCTTGATGAGTAAATGGGAGGGGAAAAAAATGAGGTGTTTGCTGCCTTTTATTTTTTTCTTAGTCTATGTGCTCTAAGGGTTTTCCAAGTAGAGGATGAAATGAATGTCTTTACTAAATTCTGAGTTGAAGACATTAAATGAAAAAATTACTTAATTTCCAAGTCATATATCTTCAGACTTTCTATTTTCACCTCTTGATTACATGTACAAATAGCACCCAAGCTTTTGAGGACTTAGCATTTAAAATTATTCAAAAGAACACGTACCATGCAGTATGTATAACTGCATATACCATGCTGGTATGTATAACAAGAGGGATGGCTGTTTTTCTACCTAATCTATTATGAATTGTTTATTAAGAGTCAGCTTGATGGGTACTGAGCATGTCCACTATATGCTGTATGTAGTTAGAAATACACCTACAGAGCATAGTCCAAACTGGTTTTAGTTTCTCTTTAAAAATCTGGACTAATTTTTTGTTCTTGTCAGATTAGATGAGGTCATAGTTGCATCTCCTCAAACTAGTTTTGTGATGCTGGTGCGTGTTGTGATTTTATCTAAGATGATGTTCCTTAGTCTATTTTGTGCACTGAATTCATACAGTTTCTACTGGGAGTCTAACAAAATGAATTTAGGAGGATTAAATCTTTTGAGGGTTATGTATCACTTGTGCTTGAAAACCTGTTTTCTTCCTGAGCTTTAAGACACATCCACAAATGATGCTAGTTGGTAGTTGTTTTCAACAACTAGTACTCATCCCAGATGGGTGATGGAGAATTTAAGCTTACTTCATTATCTTTTATCTGTTTTTAATGTAGGTTTATCTTTGAGTTTAAAGAAGCATGAATTCATTTAATTCTGTCCTCAAATTTTTATCCCCAATAGACTGAAATCTCTGAATTGTGCAGTACCCATTCTTAAAACTATTTCACTAGGAAATGTGAGTAGGTGGAGATCTAGAGATATGCTGGACATTGGTCCTGCTTTCTTTCTTCCGATTTCATTTGAGACAATGGCACGGTATCTGATATGCAGATATCTTCAGAGTCATATCAGCAGCACAGTGTAATTAAAAAAGAACAAGCAAAAAAATCTGTTCTATCAGTACCATAAGCCATAAATATTACTTGCCATATAAGCTTTACTTCAAATGAGTAGCATTTGTTGACAAATTGAAGTAAAATTCACCATAAATATTTCTGTGCAAATTTCTTGTTTTTCAACTTGCTGTTTTGTTCTCTGTCTAATATTGCAACCATTTAAGAGTAGTTACTGTGATCAAATTTTCTATGCAGCAAAACACTTTGTTACAGCAAAATTATTTACTAAGTACACATCTCATCTTTTTCTAAGTCTTTTTTTAAATGTAGCTAACTGAACTTAAACACTTTATAAATAGCATCACAGAGACATAAGAATTACACATGCACAAACTACCGACTTCTCCAGAAGAAATAAACAGTCAGTAGAAATGTTATTTAAATTTAAATAACATCTAAATTTGCCATTATTCAGAGGAACAGAAACAGGAGAGAACTCGCATGCTGTCAGCTCCTGTAGCAGCGTTATGGCAGTGCCTGGCCACGCACTGAATGCTGCTGTGGTTGGCACAGGTGCTTTACAAGACAACAACAACATCCCTGCCCTTGGATGTTTACAGCTGAGACTAGGACAACAGTCCACTGCTCCAGCCTATTTGTAATTGATTGCAAGACCACAGTTACAACAACTTTGAAATCTTACCACATGTCTAGAGCTAAATGCAGAAGTTAGACAGTGATTTTTGCAAGCATAAAGCAGAGTATTTAATGCTAGTGCATTTAATTTTATTTAATGTGAATCATTTATTCATCTGTAAGCTTGGTCCTGCATTTTTGCAGTTCACAAAAAACAACCAACACCAAAAAAAAAACCCCAAAACCTCTGAAGCTCATCAGACTCTCAACTCTGAAGTTTAGAAATACAGGTTTGTTTTTATCAGTCAGTTTCCTTCATACGTGCCGCTTGCTCTGCCCTTGTAACAACTGTATTCCCACAGCTGGAAGCTTCCTAGCTGCAAATTCCTCGGTGGCACTATTTTTGCCATACTTTGATCTTAGTACTGTTCTAAGAAATGTTAAATAGCTATCCTTGAGATTTTCCGACAAGTAATCTGGTTGGTATGAAAATCTAACTGCCGAGCCCTTTGGGTTAATCCAGCATCAGTTGGAAACCTTCAACAGAGTCAAAAGAACTAAGATATTGTTCTTCTATTCACACTTAGCAAAACTGCGTAATCGACTTACAGTTCTTTCTGTCTTTTGATGCAGGTGGAAGTGAAGCCATATGTGCTGGATGATCAGATGTGTGATGAATGCCAAGGCACTCGGTGTGGTGGAAAATTTGCTCCGTTCTTTTGTGCCAATGTTACCTGTTTGCAGTATTACTGTGAATACTGCTGGGCAAGCATACACTCTCGTGCTGGGCGAGAATTCCACAAACCACTGGTAAAGGAGGGAGGTGACCGACCCCGCCACGTGCCGTTCCGCTGGAGCTGAACCCCAGGCCTCCCCCAGCAACAAGTACTGGAGTAGATAAAATCGAGGGAAAAAGAGAGCGCTGCCTCAGGGCTTAGTGTTCTGGAAATTTGTGCATTCGTCCTCGACTTTAATGAAGATATGGGTCTTTTTATTACTATTATTATTATTTACAGTCACATTACTGAACTCAGTGTCCAGTATGATACAAACCGGCAGAGTGTAACTGTACTGATTTTGCACTTTGATTCACACAAACATCTGCTTGGTACCTTAATTTCCTACACAAGACTTGTCACTAGTGACATTATGTAGACTGCCATTCTCATCAGCCTTCACTGGGTTGATGTGTATGTGATGAAGATTTTTTTATTATAATTATAGTTATTTTTATTTTTAAACTGGAGCATGCACTTATTTTCAGAAATTTAGACTTGCCCCTAGCAGATGACTTACCAAAGGTAATATTCACAAGTAGGTGGCAGATGTAGCAAAAACTTATCAGATATTCAGCAATTGTTAGTTTGGGTCATTTAGCGTAGTAATAACCCTTAAAGAAAATAAGCCTTTAGTTGCTCTCCATTTTTGACTTGTAAGGATGATACCTCATAAGCTGGATCAGACTTTTTTTTTTCTTTTGTTTTGCTAAGGGTTTTTCTTTTTTTTTTTTTTCTTTTCTTTTTTTTTTTTTTTTGTTAGGTCTTTTAGTGTTATGTAAATGTATGCTGCAATAGCTTTTGCTGCTATTAAAATGGTATTACTAATACCAGAATACTCTATTCAGGCTAGGGTATCAATTAAAAAATGAATATGTGATTAAAATAGTGATGGCTGCTGAAAGGAGATCAGTATAGCATACAGAAAAGCTTCCAAGGAAGGTCAATATTTTTTGACTGCATGTTTACTTAATCAGGTTGCTGCATGCAATAAATTTTATATATGTCTAATATAAAACCTGCCCACAATGCACAAATTACGAGTCTACTTAGGTGACAAAATATTGAGTAACAAAGAAAAAAAAACTGATTACTGACTGGAGGAAGGCATGCCTCAGTAAATGTAATGCTTCTGAAATTAGGATCAGCCCATTACAGAATGACCTATACTACAACAGATATAAAAACTAGCTGTAGGATATTCATAAAACAAATTTGTGGATGGTAGATGAAGTACTTTGCGGTGCTCTGTTATATATCGTGCAATTTATTTTATATAGTAAGGTGATTATGTCTAGTACTGTGATCAAACTTAACTGTTAAAGCCTCTGTATCCGACATTAACACACTCTTGACAGTTCATAACAGGTACATAAACAGAAATGAGCTCTTACTTACAATCTCTCTCCTAACGCTTGCACCAGTTACGTAGTTGCAGACTTTGTCCAGAGAACCAAAGAGCTCATACTAGCATACATACACTACCAACTAGATAGTCTGTCAACCTAATGAACTAGGCACATTTAAGAAAGTTAGAAAAAGAAGTGGTGCTAAAGAAATGTCTGCATATAAAAGTAACATGAGATGTCTGCTCTGTGGATGTGGCGTTATCTCTCTAATCCCTGGATGTATCCTGTGAAGCTTGAACACAATTAAGACCTGCTAACACAGTGGACATTTTTTTAGCATGAACTATGGGGCTGCAGATAGCATATAAATATAAACACACTTGGTATACTAACGATTGTGAGAATGTGTACACTATTTTTTTTCTTTTTTTTTTTTCCTTTGTTTTTGCAGTTCTGGGGACAATCTGACTGGATATGACACCGCATAGTAGATGTAAATGTTCTAGGTTTTGTTTGTCGTGATGTCCTCGTTTGTGTCTAATTTAGTAAGCTGTTTTTCCCAGTGTTTAGTTGCGAGTATTGGCTTTGAAAGGAACTTTTCTGTTTTTGAAGAAAAAAAAAGAAAAAATAGTTTTTTACTGGTTTAAAATGCTAATTATAATTATCCCTTTTGAGGTTACTTCTGGGCATTTTTGTGATATTGCTTTTCCCAGCCCAGGTGTCTTTTCTGTTTTTTCATCTGTACAAGACATTTTGTTATGCACTACTTTTTGTATCTAGACAGTTTTCAACAGTCGGCTGATGATTTTTTTTAAAGAAAAAGGCATGCTTTCTGACTGACATGATCTTTTGCAATACCTCAATTTTGAAATATAGGAAAGAAAATGATATTTTCTAAGTAAGTTTATTCAGAAAAATATATATTAATTTAATTCTGCAAGAAAAATGATTTAACAGATGGGTAACTTTATTTTTTTCATGCTTATTTGAGTTTTTTTGAAAATGAAGAAGTTAGAGCTTTATAACTGTAATATTAAAGATCATAGCTAACCTACAGAAATCTACCTAATTATGTGAACGAAGTAAACCCTTTTGAAGAAATACCCCTCTTTCATGTACAAACATACCCCCAGAGAGTGTGAGAGAGAGAGAAAGAGAGAAAGAGTGAGAGAAAGAGAGAAGCTGGAAGACGTACAATACAGCGTAACGTTGGGTTAAAACTAAAAAACAAAATTATCGTGAAAAACAGCTGTAAACAAACTCCATTTGGTGCTGAAAGTTGTGAATAGAAGGTGGAAAAAATATTTTCCCTTAATTTGTATATTTATAATCAAGCGTGATTATGCACGACTGACCAGAATTGTGAGAGTTCTTCTGTTTGTATTTTTTTAAAGAGAACTTTTTTTAGTTTATTAAATTATAACATGCTCCCTTTTGTTTTGTAAATGAATGTGCCCCTGAGTTGTTAATATGTTATTATTAAAAGAGGGTCCTTCAAAAAAAAAAGTTATTTTTTAAAATAAGGAGTTCTGAACTGCAACTTGACTAAGAAGCCCCTGGGTACAACAGGTCCTATTGTGGCCTTTTCTGATGTGAGACTTGAACTAGTTGATTTTTTGAAGGCTAACCTAACCTCGACTATTTGTTGTTATGTGCAATACTGTTTGTACTGTTTGTATAAAAAAAAAAAAAGAAAAATGAAAAGAAAAAAGGCATAAATCTTTATTGCAGATTTATTTTCATTGCAGACTTTAGACATTGTGATTCACTAAAATCATTTTTCTACTGTCAAATATGTACCTTTTCTTCATGCTGGTATTTTTTCAATAGTAATGTAGCCTTTGTACTGAGACAAATTTTCATTGTTATTTTTAGAAAGATTTTTTGCTAAGAAAAAAATTAAACATATTTACATATTTTTCATTTTTATTTCGTATTTTCTTTAAGGAGTGCTTTCTCAACCATTAATATAGTTGTTTCTGGGAGAGACTTTCATATCTGGTCAATGTCATTAATATTATTTTGTATTTTTACTTGGAATAAATTAATTTTATGATGCTAATTCTTTAAAAGTTTATTTTTTTCATTTTCAGTTATTTTTGAAGCTAAAATCTTTGTAATATTGTTACTAAAGTGTCTAGTTTTTTGAAATGCAAAGCTTTATGTATTAACTTGCTGATGTGGTTTACAATAGTGTGGCAATGATGAAACGGTTGGTTATGTAAAGCGATTGGAAAATTGTAACAAAGAATTGGGCAATAAAATGACAGAATGAAGCAGAAAAAATGTGATATTTTGAAAAGCCTTTTCCTTTATCAAAATGATTTAGGGAGATAATAGGGATGTCACAGTACCAGTTCGCTGTCTAGATTTATACACCACCAGTGTTGATTCAATCCGACTGCCGTTACAGTTAACTAAATCTATTGAAATGATGGGTTTTTGACCCTGCCCATTCAGCATAATGCTCCATTACTTTTCTTGTCATTAACTTTTCAAAACTCTTTTGATAGCCTTAGGCCGAATCTCCTAAAATATATATCCTTCATTGTATTTTTGCCACCCTGTTATTTATTTATTTATGAACTAAAATGACCCTTTCCTGCACAACTTCCTTCTTGCATACATTTATCAGTGGCAGCATGGAGCAGACCGTAGGTACCCACATCATTTTCTAATGAAGTTACCACACAGTGTTGGTAGCTGCCTAGTTAATGCAGAATAACGTACGCCCATTTCCTGGTAGCAATGCAGTAACCCATATTGCCACCATGTCTGAACATTAGTTCAGCTTCTTTGTCTTTCTCTGTTCTTCTCTGACTCTCCTGTGTCTTCGTCCTTTTTTTTCTTTTGTATTGGCAATACCAAATGCAACATCAAAACACCCATCACTTCACCTCCATTTACATCACCTTTGTTTTCTTATGCAGCCAGGAGAAACCCCTTCCCGATGCCAGTGACTGTTCTGTCACCTAAACCAATCCAGACTGAAACTGGTGTTGCGTAAACAGGGCATACAGTGACATTCTCTGGACAAAACAACTACTTCAACGAGTTATTGATGGCCTTTTAGACTAACTTACGCCAGTGTTAGAGTGGCTCATCCATAACTTGTGGAAAGAAGCTGTCCGGAGTCGGTCTATCGTGTATCCTCTGTGTGTTCAGTTCTGTAAGTAATGTATAGACTAGATCAAATAGTGAAGTAAAATTTAGACTCAAATTAGGTACTACTGGTTGGAATGTACGCAAATTGAAAACAAAGGAGATTAAGGAATGAAGAGGGAATAAATAATTCCTGCTAAGTGGTACAAAGTTTATGCTTATACTTCTGCCTACATGCTTGTATTTTATAGCCTGCTAGCAAGGCATGGGCTAAAACAAATTGTATTGCAAATATGCAGTTAGCAAATAACTTTGCTGATTTCACTGTTAGAGTAGTTTTAAAAAAAAAAAGAAAAAAAGAAAAAAAAAGAATGGCGCTTAACTGGGAAAAGCTCCCATGTTAATATTTCAGTATTGTGACATCTCTACTTGCAAGGTATGAGTGAAAGATTAGTCACAGATATGTAGAAATGTCTCTTTCGTTTAATCTGGCTTGTATGTAGTTGCTTTTACGCTAGTTTGTATGATGTCAGCTAAACCCTTTTTCTTTCCCTTCCTTTCCTTTTCTCTCTTTTTCCTTTTTAAACAAACTTCTTATCTCTGCTGCTATAGTGTTCAGTCATACCACAGAGTATTTTATATTCATGTTAGTGACACTACTGTCTGTACCCCATATGGGTAGCTGGTCAGAAATCACATTGCTCACATAATTCTGGTACACTCAAATATAAATGAGAAAAAGTTTAGCAGTAAGTAAAAAACGAGGGTGCTAATAAGAGGTCATTTTGTTTAATTCCTTTTATTATTTTTTTTTCCTGGATGTAGTTCTGTTGGGGTATAAAGTATTAGATATTTGTACTTTTACTGTCAAAGTAATGGACATAACTTTTAGCGCATTCACAGCTAAGATCTCTGTACTTGTTTTTCAACTAATTTTAAATGTACTGTATCTTTTATTACATGTTCTCTTAGATTGTTTTGCTAGTAATTCTAACAAGGCTTCTTCCTTTCTGGCTTGGACTAATGCTTGTATGGAACTGCAGTACTGTGACTAAACATGGAGCTTAATGCTGCTATTGCTTACAACTGCTTAAACTTTGTAGTTTGGACTTTATTTTTTTCTGTAATAACTTATTAAATATAGTTGTATGAAGTACTGACACTTGTCATCCTTTGCATATGCTAAGGAAATCTTGGGGTATGTATTATGGGAATGCAAACAAGCTACAAAAAAACCCAAACACCAAATCCTCTACCTATTGTACAACTTTATACCAGATAAGGCTCAGCGCATACACACAGTACTCACTTCCCACATACACTTACACATGCACATTTCCCAATTACTTTGTGACTACATGGTCCACTTACAACAGTATTGAGTGCCTTTTCAATTACCTTTTCTGAATTTAACAGTTGCCACCTACCTTAGATAGTGCTTTCTAATTGGCAGTTTAATGATAGCTGCAAGCTAAATATTGGACCGATTGATTAAAAAATGAGAAAGAAGCACTACAATATTAGTTGCTAATGGTTTCTATGCTAAGAATAGGAGACAATCGACTCAGCAACATGGCTGTTTGGAACAACACAGAATGCTTCCATGAAAAAACTGTGACTTCTGCTATGTTGGGGTGAGAGGAGACACCACACGAATTATGTGTGTTTTATATCACTGCTTTCTTTTGTGTCTGCACAAAAACAGCTCAACAACCCTGCTGGAACGATCTGCACTAGAAATTACAGAGTGACTCCAATGCTATAAATTAAGTGCCCATTTGGAAAGTATATGAGAAGCTTATGAGGCAGTGTTCGCCAAACAAGTGTTGTGCACACTCCCTTAGCGTGCAGAGCCTTGCGACTTTGCAATATGTTGTTTTATCCTAACATTACCACCATTACCAACAGTAAGTTACTGTTAAGCACAGTAACTTACATACATGAAAGCAGAAAGCTCGGATGCTAGAGAGCAAATAATGTTCAGGCACTGACTTGTTTTGAAACAGGTAGTGAATGAGTACAGCTCTAAGGAGAACAGTCTGCCGACTGCTCTTCCAAAAGTGTTTTTAGAAGGCAGTGATCTGTAATAGGAATTCTAGTAAATAAATGTATGAAAACTTACAGATTTCTGGTTACTTCGTAGTTAAATTTGAGAAGGAAGCTCTTACAAATAGCTTCCAGTTAATGTGTGTTAAGCTGCTGTGTTGCAGCCTCTAGCTATAGAGTTCCTATGTAAGCAGCGCACTTCAAATTCTTCTGGACAAAACCAAATTTAGTTTTATTCCCATTCTCTACTACAGAAAAAGTTGCTGGAAGAATTGCAGCAGCCTCTCTGGAAATTTAATTCCCAGTCCTTCACTACTGCATTACTAATAGGACATCCCATGCTACTGGTGAGGTACTAATACCGTCAGTTTTCCCTCTTCAATTGATAGCATTTGACTCAGACAATGCAATGCTCATAATAAAAATGCTCTCACTAATTTAAATCAACGGACTTCAAAAGTATAGAAAACTGCATGACCCCTCCTGCTTCTTGTTTGTATGTGTTATTCTTGTTAGGTTTAAACTGAAGCAACTACCTGTATGACTACTGAAGCTTGTGTACTAAGCCTGGTTAGGTACCCTTCTAAGCTAAACCAGCAAAGCTTTTCTTAATCAAGGCAGCAAACCAAAAGCACAGACCTGTAGAAAAGGGAAAGCTTAGCTCTTAGAAGCCGTAAGCTGCTTTCCTCGTGATCCAAACAAACAATATCTAAGCAGCATGAGCACACAGAGAGACCTGCTGTACATTCTCCCAGGGAAATGGATTTTAAAACAAGTAACTATATTATTCTTGATAAT